CACGCAGGGCCCCAGCGAGGGATGTGTAGAGGGATGGAAAGAAAGAGCAGGAACAGACACTATCTGCGTTAGTCCCAGCTACTGCCCAACTTCTGCATCAGGCTCACGTGAGCCTAATGCTGAGTTTGGCCAGCACTGTCCCATTTCCTTAATGGGCCACAAAAATTACTGGCAACGGAGGAGGTGCTTCAGCTTGGGCAGAACCTCTCCCACAGTTGTGATTCTGGTAGAAATTCAAGCTAATGGAGACTAGTCACAGTTTTACAGTGACAATTCCTTCAAGTTTGACGGCATTTGTGAATGTTTAGCTTCGGGCCCACCATAAACACAGCCTGGCACATGTATTCAATAATGATAAAATAGGGCTTTTCTCCACTAAACTATCCTTACTTCAAATCACAAAGGTTCCCAACAGACTATCTTTAATGTTATGTATCCTGTTATGTATCATTGCAGTTTCAAATACACATTGGATGTACACTCGACGGTTCTACAAGATTCAGGCCTCTGGCAAGCTAAACATCTAAATAAATTGTTTTCTGTTATCTTACAGGGCACTGTATTCTTTTCAAGAAGTGCTGGTATTTTCTTATGTAAGCGCTTGTAAAAACTACTGAGATCTTAACTTCTTATAAACCACACTGAGATCTTAATATTTCACATGCACAATACGGGCACACTTCCATAATTTTTAAATATATATGTCTCTTTTAAGAGGGCTGTTCACAGAATCACAGAATGGTGAACATTCTAGAAATCACCTAGTCCAATCCTCCTGCTCCAGCAGGAACCTGAGCTCAAGGCTCTTTTTAGTTAATTTTTCTGACAAATTAACAAGATAAATCAGGAAGTTAGTGATGCACTAACTGCTTCAAATGGAGTCTCAAAAGCTGGTTATAAGCCCCGTTTGACTGCACAGAGTGTTTCAGGAATGGGGTGGCTGGAGAAAGACTTCAGTTCTATGGTTATGGAAAGAAAGGTGGAAAGAAATAAGTTTCCCTACTAATAGGCTTAACAGTTCACAACAGTAAAATAGCTTGATTTTTATTAGAACAAGGATATTATATACTGTAGAAAATTAAATGAAATATTAATTCCACTTCAGTCTTCCATATTAGAACAACAACAAAAAAAGTCTAAGAGAGAAGACCTTTCCATTTTGATATTGAAATTATTATGAATATACACCAGATTAACTAAAGCTGCAACTTCACATCGCTGTGACTTTAATTAAAGAATAACAAATGGAAGCACAGAATTAAGCCTATAATGTAAAACTCTGGGTCAGTGAATTGATATCAAAGCTCAGGAAAATTAATTTCTACTCAATTCATTAAATAAATGGGTAGCATATAGAGAGATCACTACCTTCTCCAAGAACACCTGCTTTTAATACCAAATTGCCATCTGCAACAAAATGATGTACACAAATAATATAAAGTCCCATAATTTCTTTGCATCATGGCATCAATCTGAGCTCTCCCAGTCTCATTTACTGGCCTAACATCTCAGTAAGACAATTATTATATTAAAGTGTGTGATGATAACAGTCTAAAATAGCATAGAGGCCCCAAAGCAGACATGTACCGCACAAGTTGCTGCACAAACACAAATATAAAAGAGAGTGCATAATTACCTAAACAAAACAATGGATGTTAGGGAAAATTAACAAAGAGAAAAAAAACAATTCATAGAAAAATTAGATGTGACTTGCCAAGCACCGCAAGGCAAATTAAGCTAAGAAAGGAAGCTATCAAATGATCCAAAAGGCTGAGTCTCACCAAAAAAACAAGCAAGGAGAAATCAAATTGTAGGGTAATGCATATATGATACTTTTGTCCCCTGTGAAGATTACATTGCATTCTCATTGCTTTTATTTTCCTTTATTACTTTAACATTCTAATGAATAAATGTCATATCACAGAGTTCTATAAAAAAAGATTTTTTAAAAATCTTGGCTGATCTAATTTAATTTCTAATATGAGCCCATAAATGAAATACTGCTGTCCATCTGTCACCAATGCAGTTGCTCAAATTACTTTGCTATCACTTCTATACTATAAGCACTTCTAGGAATCTTGAGTAGACTCTACCAATTTATACTCTTATAAATATTTCTAATCAAGGTATTTGCAGTGACTACAATGCAGCCATAAGCAGGTAGGGGAACAGGGAAAAATCATGAGCAAGTGTGAGGCAACTCACCCTCAGCTCAGTGGACAAGTAACAACAAATAATATGTAATAGGAAGAACAGGCACAAGCTATATGACTTTCAACTTTGTTATCTTCTCTTGTCTCATATTTTTAATTTGGGATGATGTGTGATACTGCACGTGATGTATTACAGAGCAGCATGGGGAGTTGTCAGACGAAGCTGCACCTGGGAGAATTGCACCTTCTAACATGGCTTTCTGCAGGACAGGTCCTGCTAAGTGGCACATACTGGGTAGCTGCTACATGGATATCAAGCCTCCATTGCTCTAAAATCCCACGTGATCATCTGGAAAGCTGGCACAACACTGCAGTGCAAGCAGGTGATATATAAATGATGTGTAGGGTGAGGAAGGAGGGGAGGAGAAAGCAAGATCTTAGGTCAGGGATGAAAGCCTGTCTATATATATTTAACTGTCTACAGTTAACACTGAAAGGTTGTTCTACTTAAATCTCACTGCAATATCTTCATTATAAAATGCTCTTGCATTCTGTACAACTTCATGATTGTTTTTTTGCTTTGTTTTAGTGGAAAAGAATTATTTTCAGACATGCAGTTTTCTGGCCCTCAAAAGAGACAGAATAAATACCATATGATTAGTATTATTTGTTTAAAACACTACAAATATGATCCTTAACTTGACATCAACAGAATTCAATCTCAAAAACTTAATCTTAAGAGCATCTATGTAGAATTAAATTCTTGCAATGTTCAGATATGCTGTAAATTAAAGTTCCCCATGCTGTAGAGCTCTGCCTTCACAAACACTATTGCAGGACAGTGACCTGTGCTTACAGACCAGGTAAATATTATCTGCTGGAATCTACTAGAGTCTCTCTGAGTACATTCATTATCTATGAAAATAGCTGTATAATTCTACTATACATTCTGGTTCAGAAATTTCTAGACAAAGATCTATTTTTTAATTTTTTTTTTTTTTTTTGACAAAAGTGAACCAAGAAATATCACATTAAAAATAACACTGGCTGAAAGTTTTATCCTTGAAGCAGCTGTGCTTCTCTCCTCTATAATGCAAGTTTAAAGATGGAGTCTCAGATTTAAATTTGAATGTTCTTTACTGTGTTGGAATTTCAGTATTATTTTCATGTGAATTAATGCCTTTGATAGACAAAAGCTTTTATTAGATGAATAATTTGAAAATGCTCTTTAGAAATAATGTCATCTTGCAAGAATTATGTTCTATTCATTATCTATTATCACAGAATTATTCTGCTCTCTGTTCTTCTGTAACCATAAAAATATCAAAAAATCCTGAAAGACACCAAAAAAAAAACCACCCCGTAGTTCTTATTCAAAAATAGGGAAAACACCTAAAATTACTAGAACTTAAGAATCTCAGCTTTATCAATTAGTAAAACACTTTCAACCCAATGTGATTTGGGTTTCTCCTCTTCCTCTGCACTTCACCCCACACTAGGCAATAGAACTGCATTAATTTTGCCCTTCCTGAATCTCTAAATATATTTTATATTCAGCAAGATATTGCACATTGAGTTGCTTGCTTTGATGCATCTGCCCAGCATACAACAGCAAAACTTCTTTTGGGAAACATTCCACTGGCACCTGTCTCCTTTGCTGGCATCCATATGCTGAGCTGTCCTGGAAGGAGTGAATTACAATTTGTGCTAACTATTTGAAGGAGAAATACCAGAAACCAAGCAACTAATAGCATTGACCATCCTTTCAGAAGTTCAGAAGGTTTCAGAAGATCAGATATAGTATTTCAGTTGGGATGAATTTCATAGACAAAACACTAACGCCCAGAAATATAACTTTTTTTGGTACCATATAAATGTGTTGAAAACTATTACAATCTAATTTTCACTTTCCCTTGCCATCCTGTTGGCTCCTGTATTCCATCTTGAATTTCACATGCTCCCTGAAACCTTGTTGCCTTTCTCTCCAGATGTTTTTACCAGGATTATCTTGTTACCTTAGGCTTCTGTGCTGAAATCGGCACATCAAGTGATTAAAGTAGCAGAGACTATTTTAGATCAAGAATTCGGAGTTCATTCTTAAATCAAGTCTGCATATCATTTTTATCCACCTATTTGCAGCAAGAAGAGGCAGTTTATGTCCTCTTGAAAAGCTGCTCACCTGGTCTCAATCATTGAGAAGGAAGATAGTAGGAAGTCTAGTGTTTGGCTCCTGTGGAGAGGCACTTCAGCACAGTGCATGTGCCTAAAAACCTCCACAGAGAATGCTTTGGTTAATATATATCTAAACATTTAATTAGGTTATTCATAAATTTATTACCAGCAGACTTTCCTGCTTACTCTTAGGCCTAAACATGCACCCACATTGTGCATCCAAAACTCCAGACTATAAAACTTACCATGTTTTTATCTCTAACTGATTTTACCTGTAATCTTTTCAACTCTATTTGCCTAGTCGGGGAATAATTTGGTCCCATTTACTGTTCAGTGTCCTTCTTGTTAGCTCAACCTTACAAAAATGTCATAGAAATTGAACAGTAAGTCATATACTTAAGGAGAGACTGATCCTTTATTTATGAAAAGAGACAGGTGAGGGAAAATGATAAATGTATATAACTTAGTAGATGGTATTGGCAAGGTCAATCAAAACTTCAGCTTATCCGTCTTTATAAATCTAAGAACAAAGACACTAAACAATATGTAAAAAGTGGCCATTTCAGAATTACTAAAAAGAAACAGTGTTTTTTCACATAGCATCCAGTAAACTGAGGAAAGTGGATGTCACAAACATTCATCTTTACATCAAGCCTTCTTCAGAGAGAAAAAAAAAAAAAATTGCCCTATATGGTGGAAATATACCTTGTTGGATAAGTGCTTCTGCTGCAGGTTCCCCAGAACCTACATTTACATACTCTTCATTAGGATGCTTTCTGTTATAATGCCTCTTCAGGGAGCCAGATATATTGCAAGAATAATGGCAGTGTGCACAACGGAAAGGCTAGAAAGAAAAAGAACAACATTAAAATACAATACAGATGTCCCGACACTCTCTAGAAACAGATCTAAGCCACAGTACTTTGATCCAAAGAAACATGCTCATTCCTGGTTTACACAGCTTCTAAGGAGACCTTCCAAAATGCTGTATAAAAGGAAGTTATATCTAAATCTTACCCAAAAGTTGGTGTCTTGCACATAATAAAAAGTACCAAGTATTTTTAAGTTAAGAAAATCACGACCTCCTTTTCACAGTTGTGTGAGCTGTGTATTTTCATGATTGATGACTGCAGATCTGACTATGCAAAATGCTTTTTACTACAATAAATTTACCAGTAAATTATCTGGTTCTCAACTGCTACATGGTAAGCAACTTTGGCCTTAAAAAGAGGAGTTAAAATAAGTGAGGGTACAATATGACAGTACAGCCAATCTAATTTAATAGGCACTTCCACCTGACAGGGTTGATCCCTTCCTTTCCCTTCTGTTTTCAACCTACTCCCAAATGCTTCCCTTTCGCTTTGAGAATACTCTTTGACTGAGATATGTAAGAGGTGTGTACAAAGCTAGACAGAAACATTAGGGTCCTCACATGAAATTCAGACATTGATGGAAAATCTGGAGAAGAAGCCAAGTACTTCAGAATGGGATGCAAGATGCGACCCCAACTGCAATGAGACCCATCTGGTCAAGGAACACAGTTGGTCAAGGAGCGTTTCTCAATCAGTCACACTTAAAGCAGGGAAATGTCCCCAGTCAGGGTCCACTGCCCAGAACCTCAAATCCCTCAAGCTATTTCTCACGACCTTCTTTCAGGCTCCAAGCAGCAAAAATAAGGCAGACAAATAGTGTTCAAGTTTCCATAACCTTACTGTTCAGTGAATTCCCTAACATTCAGTTATTATATCATTCAAAAAGAAATACTCTTCTCTGGTTGAATCTGTCTTTTTGAAGAAAACAATGCAGAATTCTTTTGGACACAGGGTTATGTTCCTGTATCACTCTCATCATATTTGTGTGTAGTATATGCTGTCTGCCATCAGATAGCATTGGAGAGGGACATATATATCACTTCTTTTTGAATCAGGCTTTATACAGGTAATGGCTCCATGCAAACAGAATGACTGGGCATTGTGATAATGCACAGAAAAAAAAAATAAGAGGAATACGCCCATGACTCCTGCAGTTTCCTCTGTATCTGCAAAATCAGAAACCCTGTTGACAGGCTGTTTTCCTTACATCACAGAATGGCTGAGGTTGGAAGGGACCTCTAGAGACATCTACTCCAATGCCCCTGCTCCAGCAGGGACACCCAGAGCACACGGCACAGGGTGGCACCCAGGCAGGTTTTGAAGGTCTCCAAAGGAGACGACTCCACCAGTCTCCCTGTTGATTATCTTGAGCAAACTGTATGACAGTGGCACAGCAGCAGCTTTACTGCTGCCCACAGAGCAAACTTGTCTGGAGCTGAGCGAGTACAAACAGCAGAGCTGTCCCATGCTCTCTATATGCCAGTGTCCCCTCATTCCTCAGGACATAGTGCCAGCCTGGCATCAGAGTAACTTACTGTGGAAACTTATTTGAGCAAACCTATAAACACAAATTTCAGCATGTGAGAGACGGTAACAAGGTCAGGACTGTCTAATAAGTAAACACTGATGGCTTATAGATCCACGTCAGTATAAAGTCTAGTACACTCATGTAGAAGTTAAAAATATAATATCAAAAGTAACTCCAGCTCTTTGAATTTTGCAATCATTTTTTTTTCTGATCTTTAAAAAGCTTTTTTTTTCTTTTTTTTTTTTCTCCACATGTGCACTAGAAAGATCCACAAGAACAACAGGAGAAACAGACTACAAGCAAGTGGATGCTGGTAGACGCTTGGGTCATACTGCTGTGGAGCTGGTGGTGTCCCTGAAAGAGGAGCATACGGACGGCAACTAGAAAATGCCACAGAATCAAGAATCATCATGGTTGGAAAAGACCCCCAAGATCACTGAGGCCATTTTTTTTCTTTTTCTTTTTTTTTTTTTGCATCACTATTGCCTCTTTATGTCATCAGCCGGTGTCAAGGCAACACATCTGGCTATGCTTGTGACGTCACTACTGCCTCTTTATGTGATTGGCCAGTGTCAGGGCAATGCTTCTGGCTATGACGGTGACCTCACTTTTGCCTCTGTGCCTCATTGGCCAGTGTCAGAGGCAACGCATCTGGATGTGCTTGTGACGTCACTGTTGCCTCTGCGTCTCATTGGCCAGTGTCAGGGCAATGCGTCTGGCTGTGATTGTGACATCACTGTTCCCTCTGTAATGTTGGCTAGCGCAAGGCCTAGTTGGTTGGCTGGGATTGTGACATCACTGTTGCCTCTGCGTCTCATTGGCCAGTGTCAGGGCAATGAGTCTGGCTGTGTTGATGATGTCACTACTGCTTCTTTATGTCATTGGTCAGTGTCAGGTCAATGCTGCTGGATTTGCTTGTGACATCACTGTGGCCTCTTGAAAGGACAGAATAACACCTTGGCCCTTGGATACTTCAGTTACAGAAATTTTTAAAGCTGTCTGTAGTAATAATACAAATATAATATTCAGGGAAAAAAATGTTAAATTTTTTAATGAGAATATCCCTGACAGCGCGAATTATCCAAACGTATCTTACAATCATAAAATTGCCCAGTATTGATATTGCAATAAATGAGTCAAAAAGACTCAGCACTACAATTTGCTACTAGTTAAAAAGAACATGCACACATCACTGACTGTCATGCTGTTCTGCGAGCAAGTACAAAGATTCTAAGTAGGGAGAGATGAACAAATGAATGAATGATAGATATATCTGAGAAGAACTCCTTTATTTGAAATGTCAATCCTGATGTTCTTGAAAATACATAAAAAGGATAAGGTTATGTCAATTAGAAATGCTCTTTTCAAAAGAGGCTTTAAAAATACACTTGACACTGAAGATACAGAAAAAGCAAAGAAAGGTTCAACATAAATATACATTGCTTACGCTGGTCAAAAAGCTATTGAAGGCATAAAAACAGCAGTTCAAACACCTGACAAGCACTATTATAGTAAGCACATAATAACACAAGTTAATTTTTAAAAAACGTTTAAATCATTTTATATCAATGCAGTAGTTTTATTTTAATTTACCCTTCCTTTGTCATATTCAGCTTCTTCTAAATCTTTGAACTACTTAGTCTCCACTGCCTTTCAGCCTCTTGTACTATGTACTATGAAGGTTACTTCATAACCCTTAATTCAGTTCATCTCTGGTTGTCCACATCTATTCTGCTACTTCACACATCTCTATCTGCCCATCTTTCCAAGCATCATCTGTCTTATTTTCTGCTTCTTTTGTTTCTCCTTCAAACTCTACACAAGTGCTACATAGGAGGCAATGTACAACTAACAAACTGGGTTTGAATCCCTCTGACTCCTAACTGACCTATTTCAGTGTTTGACAGGTCTCTTAATAATGCATTGAACTGCTATACAGGCTGATACAGAAGACTGAAGTGCTGGGTCAACAATTCTAAAGTCAAACAAACAAAACCAATAACAACAAACCAACCTATCCTCGGGTCAAACCCAGCTCTGTTTCAAGGACTGCATTAAAAGTTCTCTTGTCCTATTACTGTGACAAGATAAAAATAGTTTATTTCCATTTACCAAAAAAAAAAAAAAATCTGTGAAAAGATATGACTCTAATGGAAAGTTATAAAATTAGGAAAAAAAATGACAAGATAAAATGTAACATTTTCTATACATACAAAATACTGAATTCTTCTGGAATGGAAACTAGTATAATTTATATTTCCTGAATATAAAATTCATAATTCATTACATCAAGAACTGTCATGCTGCAACAAGTAATATAAAGACTATATCTAATCAAAAAGAATAACAAACTTCAAAACCCTTCACAAGACAAGTTTTAGATAATTGGAGTGTTTTAGAATTAACTCTCTCCAATTTTCTTCAAGTATAAATGAATTCATCTATAGTACACTGGACTAGCAAAGTCTCATAGAAAATTAAAGCAGAAAATCAACAGTGACGTTATGAGATTCAATTTGTTACTGCACTAAGACACTTTGAAATACTTAATAGGTTAGTTCTCTCAAGGACTGGCAGTGAGACAAAACACAAGTATTTATTTTATATTGCAAAATATTTGTACTTTTTAGGCAAGTAAAGATACTAACTACTAATAGCCCATGAACAAAATAATTCTAGTATATGGCTGTTCCATGGTATACTATCTAAAGCTCTGAATGTAAACTCAAAATTCCTTAAAAAATAAAATATTAAGATCCCATAATCGCCTCCACAAAGGAAAATTTGCAAGTTTTAAAGCTGTTATCTAAAGCTCCATGTATTTCTAAAGAAGATATCATTAGTCATGATTTATTTGCTCTCTTACCTTGAAAGAGACATGTTGTTCCATATGACGTAGGAGCTGTGGTTTTTGTGCAGCTGTATAATCACATACTGTACATTTAAATTGCTTTCCTGAAAGGAGAATAAATAGAAAAAAATACATATTTTTTAAGTTCAGAAAATTACTTATGATATTTCTCCATAAAGAAGATTTCTAAAAGGGTAAGAATGAACAATCAACAACTGAACTGTGAGGTGGGCACCTGCTTTGCAAAATTCTGATAAAATAGAGCGAAAGGGAGTAAAGAAGAAAAAGGGTTTCAAGTGTCACCTTTAGCATTAATTAGCAGAGATACTCTTGGAATAATCACTTACGGAAGGAGAAAAAGGATTATAACAGTATAGCCTAAATGGAAGAAGGAAATCAATGATTTATAGTTGCAGATGGAGTTATTTTACTATTCGTAAAGCACTTTCCTAAATCCTTAAAAAACAGATGTTAAGTCACGTCACGTGTTTGAGCTACTTCTGTCACAAGCACTTAATTGCTATGCTTCAAATATCATTAGCTCTCCTTTAAATTGATTTATTTCTGATTGGGTATACCGTACTATTCTTACAACAATATTTGCTTATACATCTAGCATTACTCTTCTGATAAGAACTCCAATTTCTCTCAAAGAGATTTCACACAGAATCACAGAATGGTTGAGGCTGGAAGAGACCTCTAGAGATCATCTAGTCCAACCCCCCTCTCCAAAGTCTTAATCTTGAATACACAGAGAAATAAACTTTGTCATAAAATGAAATAAAATTTGCACAGCAAATAATACAGAGGCCTTGCGTTCCAATATTTTATTTCTGCTAACATAGTTTTGAAAACTATGGACACACTTTGTTCCCTCAACATCAAACTGAATGACAAGTGTTTGGCTTGTTCATTTAAATTTTTGTTCTTTCTCAATCCAAATCTCTGGAATAACCTGAAATGTCCCCTGACAGTCCCCCTAAGCAAAAGACAGCCTATACTGTGACTGGTTTATACCTCACATACACTGACTTGCAAGTTGGCTGCTACAGAAGAGAAAGGATAATGGTCAGGATCTATCATCTCGCCTGTTCTCAGAGGATGTCAATTTGTATTTTTCTCAAAATGTGGGGAGTTAAACTGACTGCGACTTTTATCCCTTTGAATGACGAAATGCAAAAATGATACACTGGACAGGATGCGGGGTAAAGTCTGTGGACATGTGCTTGCATTAATATTGTGTCTTTAGATATTAAGAAGTCACTGAAAGATTGGAAACAGCCCATACTTGTCAAGCACTTTGCAGGGTGAAAGCCTGAGTCATAACTTTTCCATACAGTATAACATAATAAAGAGAGTGAGAATGCAAAACTGATCTTAAAAGTATAAGAAAAGCATTACTCTGCAGCTAAGCTTTTCACTCCAAAGAAAAAACACTTTTTAAAGTTCTACAAACAAGACAACAATTTCATTTGCAATTGTTGTATACTTGAAGCCTCTTTATGTGTTTATGAGGCTCCTGGTCAAACCTGAATGCTGCAGGTCGTGCCTGAAAGAGCAAGAGCACAACACAAAAGGAGGAGCTGCAATTTCACCTAAAATTTCACCTAATGAAAGATGAAGTTCAGAACATTCCATTTAGAATTAAAGTCAACATTTTTAACATAAAACATGATTAATGACAAGGAAGATTTACTTGGAAATCAAAAGGATTGGATGCCAACTGAAGTCTTTAAATCAAGCCTGTTCAAGCCATTCTATAGCCCAACAAAAATTCAATGCACAATTATTAGATTAAGTTATGCCCTGTATTCTGCAAGAGATTAGATTTTGTAATCATAACACTCTGCTTTTGACTCTGAAATCATTAGTCTGAGTCCTTCTTAAAGTGAAGGAAGACAGTCAGATTTTGTCATGATGTATTTATTGGGGAATTTTCTGGATTCTCTCTGGCATTTCAAAAAACATCTGTTGCTCATTTTGCTTTACAAAGAGTAAAACTCATAAATACATTCCGACCCTGTATGTTTCTCTTATTTCTCCTCCAAACATTTCCTCTTTCCTTCTTTCTTTCTTTTTCCCTTAGAATTTTAAATAAGGCATTTTCTTTCCTTTTACTTTCGGGGTTTACTTTATCTTTTCTTCCTATTTCCTCTTCGGTAGTACCATCGTTCTTGCTAACTCCCACCAAATTATAAGATGTGTATAAAATACAGAATTACCACAACTCTGCACAAATGTTTATGGCTGTCAGACTGTATTTGTTCAAACTGGTTAAAAAAAAAAAAAAAAGTGTTTAGGAAACAGAAAAACTGAAAAGAAGGAAGAAGGGGTCATATACAGCATACGCTGTGTTGTCTTGAAACTAATCCATTTTCTTTAGATTCTGAATCTTGATCAAAAAAGTTGCAGGCATTTTATATTGAGCATGAAAGGATCCCTGAACATAGCTAAGGAAGATCTTGAGACAATTTATTTGGCATCCAATTAAAAAAGACAAACCAGTTTTTCTGGTTTATTTTTAATCACAAACAGTAATGAGACTAGACAACTGAATTGTTTTCTGTCATGTCACTATTGAGAGGAATAAAGTAGATGGAAAACTACTTTATATTCCACTGGTTAAACTGACCTTGCAGGGCTGATATTTGAACAAAAATTGCCTAGCTTGTCAGGAAGACAAGACTCAGAAAGAGCTGAAGTATCTTTCAAATTAATTATTATTTGTGAAATTACTGAAGAATATCACATGCACGCTAGCAAGAACTTCTGAAGTGATATCACTACAGACATAGATGCTGGGCAAAGAGGAACCATCAAAAGCATTCAAAAGGCAGAAAGACCCCTGACAAATCATACAGGACGTTCCTGGTGACAAATGTGATTTTATTTTCTGCAAGTGTTTGAAATATATGAAGAGTCTACTGAGGTAGACTTAGGAAAATGTCTGAAGAGTCCACACATGGTGACATCCTGTTCCTAGGGAAGCCAATGGCCAAACACATTTTCTAAAGGAGCGGAATATTTCCTGGAACGTGTTTGAAAGTGCCAAGGGCAAGACAAGAGAGTGTAAGTCTTAGATTTATTTATATCAATCAAAAAATAGGTGCATTAATGAGGAAGCGTCAGTCACTTCACATATCACAGATGACAATGACAATATGAAACCGGATAGAAAAGGCTTCTGGTAATAACCCTGACTTTAGAGTCAAGACTTCAACCCTGTAAATGTTAAAAGACTACAGCTTCTTAACTGCAAAGAACATTTAAAAATCAATTCCCACTGCTGATCTAGACAAACTCCTGCAGCATCACCCTGCTATTCTTAAGAATGCTAAACTTTAAAAGCAGCCTTAGATGAACTACAAAAACTACTTACAGGTATACCTGTTTTGTTCAAGAAATAGCATTCACTCATGGAAAAGAAAGGAATGGAGAGGGGAGAGGGGAGAGGGGAGA